CCCCAAAACCCCAAAACCCCAAAACCCCAAAACCCCTCCTTTTCAAAATATTATTGATAAATAAAATTATGCAAAATAAATACTCATTAAGGAAGGAGTCACCTCTGCTTTACAAAATGAACAAGACTTGGGGAAGGCCTCTTGATAGAGACCTCTTCAGTACTTTGACCTTATAATTTTATCTAGAATATGGTAGCTTCCCGGAGACAGAGAGGCCCAGCAAAATGAAAACTACCTGTAAATAAGCCAAAAGAGCATAAAAGATATTTCTCAATGATTTCCAATTCTAAGCTAAGGGGAGATACTTTTGATGCTAAACACATCTCTACTCTCTTGAATAAATCAATTCCTGATTCTGAAGTCAAAAAGGCAAGTATTTTTAGTTAGAAATATTGAGCAGAGAGGCCCTTTACAGGCTGGAATAGCCCTCCTGACCATTACAATAGAACTTCAAAGAGAAGAATAGCCCAAGTCCGCATCACAGATCAGTCAATGGTAGAAAATCCCTTCCAAACTCAGAAGCTGAACGAGAGTTCAGGATGTCCTCATCATTTATGAGTAGTTGATAAGTTTAACTGCTATAGCTCCTAAAAGAGAAGACATGAAACAGAAATATTTCCTAGGTATTTCCGGTGGTTAACACATAGAAACCTACAACGGATCTCCAGGGTTGATAAGGTACAAGGGAGAGAGCCCCAACGATCTGTATGGACAGCCTTACCAAGAATCCTCTCTTCAGAACTTCAAGCAGAAGTCAAAGATAGGGAATATTGGTAAGTGTTAAAATTTATCAAAAGCTGTTCCTTCAGAGTCAGACCTCAAGCTAAGATCCTCAGTTTGACAGAAAATAGAGTTTGAGAAACTTAAGGAACAGCTTGCTCTGTCTCAAGAAGCTCGTGACACTCTCAGATTCATAGGCAAGAGAGAACGTATCCTCAAGCATGGCTGGAAAGATGGAGTCTCTGGCTATGAGCTACCCAAAATTATCCGGACAAAGAAATTACAAGAGAACACCATTAACAAATCATATAATGAATTTCTTTCAAAAGACCTTAATGAATCCAAGGAAGGATATATAACCAACAACATGTTTGGCCATGCTGTGAAAGAGAAAAATAGAAGAACTAGAAGACTTAAAAACCTCTTTGGCTCCTCAGAGGCTATTGAGTTCAACAACGAGCAGACAAGTAAGAGAAGTGTAGATTCAGAAAATTCGCATTCCCCACTATGGAACAAGAAGAAACAGTTTGTTTTAATATGCTTACTTGTAGATACCTTGACAACCCAAATTACCCAAAAGATACTCATACAAGGATATTCGTACCTCAGATTTGTATCCCAAGGGCTGGGAGGAAGGTGAAATTTGGTATGGAGAACTCCTAACTAATATATAGCTTAAAGAGTTCCTATCAAAAGTCGTATTTGCTTTCAGTAAGGCATAATTTCTAAAAAAATAATGTCTTACTTCAAATCTAGTATTCCTCATTCAATTATGCCCAATTTTCGGGGTTTTGGGGTTTTGGGGTTTTGGGGTTTTGGGGTTTTGGGG